GGGCGCAGTGTGGATCTGAAACTCCTCAGTGGTATCACAGAAACAGATGAAGCTGAGCTGTTGTTCGAATGATGCACAAAAAAGAAAAAAGGCACATTTATAACCACCGCAATAATGAAACCACCCGTGCCGGTAAAGGATAAACCAACGTAAACCAAGACTGGAGAAGAATGACACGTTTTATAACAAGAACTCCCGACACAAAGAAAACTGAAGCGTGAATAATTCTAATAGAAATGTGCAATCTTCCTACTCGAGCGTTAACTGAACATGGTCTACAGCACGTCTGGTGACGACAGAAAAACGGAGTGCCACGAAAAGAAAGAAAGAAACTCCACGTCTGGAGAGTCTTAATAAACGCGGCGGACATGAAACCACGTGCACGAACCCGTCGCGTGGTTTCACTTTCTCCCAAAGCTAAGCAGCGAGCGCACGTGTCGGGAGAAGAGGGCTAACGATTAGGGCGAAGGCTGGGAGTCGTCTGTTTCCGATGCAGAGACGGAGACTGGCACACGAGAGTTACGGAGAGGTGAGGGGTCGTCTCAGTGCGTCGGCCGGTCCTGGGTGGGGGGGTCCTCGGCCTCGTGGATCAAAGAATCCGAGGTCTGAGGAACGTCGCCGTCCTGGTTACTGGGACCACCGGTGGGGGTGATCTTAATCTGAGGTGGAAAACACAAAGAAGGACGACACTTCAGTTCACGTCTGTTCAGTTTCTCCTCGTTTCAGCTCATCGCGAATGTAAAAACACTAAAGTTTAGCTTTTTTCAGCGGCTGTGAATTAAATCTGTCTTATAGTGTTTATTTGAATATTTATAACGCTGCAGAAAGGAATGATCAAATAATATCCAACCGGTTGTAGATGGCACTTATGCAATTTTTAATAGTGATCTTTCTTACGCCTAGACCTGGGGTCTGCAACCTGCGGCTCTGGAGCCGCTCTTTGGTTCCTCTGCAGCGGCTCCAAGTTTTGACCAAAACTAACAAAACTGAAGTTTATCGTTTGTACAAACAAGAAACGTCTAGTTTTAGCAGTTTTAAGGTAATTTCTTTTGCCAACATGTGAATGATACCAACACAAGAAGTAAAACTTGTTAACGACATCTAGGGCTGGACAATAATTCGATATCGATACATATCACGATATACTTTTATTCAATAACGATATGAGTTTTAAGCACATTTTCGATATACTTGACGCTACGATTACAGCGTTTCACCGACGCATTTCTTTTTCTGTTCGGGTTGAAGCGGCCGCTGCGACACAACACACAGAGCCTGAGTTCAGAAGGAGTCCGTGGCAGCAGGCTAGGCTAATCTCCAATGAGCGGCAAGTTTTCAATTAAAAATGAACAAACTTGTTCCACGTTTCCACTCGACAGAAGATGAAGCACAAATAAAAGTTTGAGCCAACGTGTCCCTGAAACACCCCCAGCTGTATCAAAAGACAAACGCATGCAGCAAACGTTGGATTACGTTGTATAAAGTTAAAACTATTAATATTGACAAAGTTGAGAGTTTGATGTTTATTTGATTTCAAGTTTCTTTGAAGGATAAATAAAATAAAAGGTGAACATTAATTTATTTGTACAATTTTTCTGAGGCTTTTATATTGTTTATATCGATATCGACCGAAATTAAGAAATGTATTGTGATACAAGTCCTTGACTACATCATGCTAGTAGTTTGTTAGCCACTTCTTTTAGCTCACTTCCAGTCTTACTGTGTGATCTTTCTCAAATCAAATTTTTTTGGGGGGGGAGGGGGGTACTTTAAGGCAAGTTGTTGAGAGGAAATATGGCGAGTCAAATTAATAATAAAAATTAAAGGAAAAAAACAAATTAAATGGAAGTATTTATTTTCAATTTAAAATTCAATTACGTTTCCAACAAGCGGGCCCAGTTTTTAACTTTATGCTTTATTACTTCATAATATGATACTTTATGAATTGTTTCCACGATTAAAAAGATAACTCACTTGCATAGTTTTTGAATTTTTATAAAATTGCTAAAAAATATATTATTTTTTTTCTTCCTTACATAAATCCAGTCTTTTCTTTTGCCCAAAATATATGAATATTAATAATAATTTGATATTTTAGTTTAATAATATCACACCTACAGGATGGAAAAGCCCATGAGCCACCAGTTGATCATCACAGTTTTAGCAGGTTTTGTGGCTCCACAGACATTTTGTTTATTTGTGGTTGATCCACTTTCTCCACTTCCGATACCGATACCTGGGCTTTACCGATACCGATCTGATACATGAAAATAAAACTGCGCTGAATTCTGTTCAACAAACTGAGCGCGCTCTTTTTGGTGAAATCTCTGGAGAGGTTTGATTAAGTTGGTAGTGTTATAACTGGAAGTTTTAGTGACACCCCCTGGAACAGTCGCTGTGCACGTATTGCACGTAGCTGTCGAATGTGTTGGCTGAAGTGGTGTGAAATTGTTCCAGATGGCTGATCCTTTCGCTCGCTCCATGTTGAAAATCTGTGCGGTGAGTTCGCTAGCGTGTGACGTCACTCAGAGCACAAAGCACAGAATTAGAGTGAATAGATCTGCCAGTCATGGATCAGTCACACTGTCACCGATACCCGATCCAGAAGTTTTTTAGATACCGATATTGGTATCGGATCAGTGCATCTCTAGTGCAAAGGGGCAGAAATGGCTCTTTTGATGATAAAGGCTGCAGACCCCTGGTTTAGATGTTTCCACACACCACAATGGAAGTCGGTACCTCCCTTAGAGTTCACGCCATCATGCTCAAAACATGAACAAACGGACGGAGGGTTTTTCCAATTCCTCCTCTTTGCTCCACAACAGGGGGCAATAATAATAATAATAATAATAATAATAATAATAATAATGCAAAAACCAGGAAAATCTAAAGATTTAAGTTGTTTTAAGAAGGAAGTGATCCACTTTGGCGCCTCTACAAACTGAGGTTGATCAAAGACATCTACGGGTAAGTTTCTGCACAATGCCACCTAAAAGATTCAAACTACGCCTTTAAGCTATTCTGACATCATCATCCGTGTGCCATCTGCATCGTTCCCGCTTATAAATATTAATATTACCATATTTTTAGACTGTAAGGTATAAAATCCTAAATCAACAGTGAGCCTTAAAGTACAAAATATCCGGTAATATTCGAGCCTGTGTTTAAGTCGGTACTCTGCAGGACGCAGGAAACAAAAACATTATTTCATGATTTTAACACGTTTCAATGAAAATCGTGTGAACTTGAGAACATCGGCAGAAGTGATCGCATGTGTGAGGAGGAGAGCGAACAATAATAAAAGACACGCGAGTCGAGATTTGATTCTTGCGTGTACCTTCAGCGTCTCCACCCTCTCCTCAAACGACTTGAAGGTTGGTGCGTTCCTGTGAAAGGCGATAAAACAGAAAAATGAAGCCGGCGACCTGCGCTAGTGTTTTCTACGCACAACGCAGCATTTCCTCACGTGACCTTATCAGAGTTAATAAAACTGCTAAAAAAAGATTTTATGAAAACTAAAATGGAAAGAACGCCGATTTAAAAAATAAATAAATAAAAAATAAACGCTGCAACTTGGCATTTTTTCTTCCATTACAGTAAAACAGAAAGGCATAAATGAGTTTGAACAACTGGATGTAGAGCAGGTTCTTCTGTAATCTCACACCACCGGGTCTGGATGTGCAGGAACAGTCGGGTGTTTCTGCCTCGGCCTTTATCAACAAACTTTTGATGAGATTTCAGCGAGCCTGACCGAACGGCAGCCTGGCGGAGTGAGATTACCGAAGCGTCACTGATAGAGCTGGTCTCCACTCGGACCGGCTCTACCGCTGCTAACAAACACTGTGCGACTCAGATTAGACGGTGCTGGGTTCAACAGCAGCTGAACGAGACGTCCTTACCTCAAGACAGGCAAACTAGTTGAGCGCTGTATTGATTGTAAACTATCCGGCAGCATTAGAAGAAAGAGAGCGTTAGTCATCTGAACGCTAAACAGGATCAAACAATGCACCACTGTGTCATTTATTAGACAAAACAACATCCCAACTATCACAGAGGAGGTGTGCTGATCCAAATTACCCAGAAACCACCACACATGCAGCTTTTCAGGTCGCCCACTCTGCTGCGTTTCTCAGCACACAGCAGCTTTGAGGGGGTTAATAATCTCGTTAGTGGCTCGATAATCCAGAGAGAAGAAGGTTGACAGAATAGAAGACAGATTAGGAGCTGGGGGAGAGAAACAGGATGACCCGCTGCTGCTGCTGCTGGGGGGGGGGGTTTCAGGTGTTCGATCAAGACAATCATGATAAAGCAGTTCATACAGGATGCAATGATTTGCAAATGATTTAAATTCAGATTTTAACTAAAAACAAATCAAATGTTTTTCTGCTCAAAAATATATACGCCATGAAATTTGGAAACAACAGATTTTTCCCTTAAAATGATACATTCTCTCAGTTTAAACTTTTGATCTGTGATTTGCGTTCTATTCTGAATCAAATATTAGATGTTGGCACCTCCACATCATTGCATTCGGTTTTTATTCACAATTTGTTTAGTGTCCCAACTTTTTTGGAATCCGGTTTGTAGCTGAAAAAAAGTTTAAATTTGCACAATGAAGCTGAACCAGAACAAAATGTGAAAGGAGCAGTAAAAGGTTGTAAACGCATCTAAAGATCTGAAGGATGTCAAATGAGCTCAATTAATTTCCAATGAGGAAAAAATGTTAGAAAAGGCTAAATATTTAAAAAAGCTAAAAGTTGCAATTGTGTAAAGTGAAGCTGGTTTTGAAGCTACAGGAGCTTTAATCTGTTTCTGATCTAATCTCATTTTCAAACATGTAGAGTTTTAAACCATCTTAAATTAATCAGGCTGTTTGTAGCTGTTATTTAGCTCATAAATGTTCTCCCATCTGACTCACCTGACGTCCTCCAGCTTCCTGCTGATGGCCGAGCCCATGTTGGAGAAGGCAGCTGTAGCTTTTAGGCCGGCCTGAGACAAAGTTTCAGACGTCTTCTTGTAGCTGAAACACGAGGCGGCAAAAAGAGAGGATATGAGCATAATAAAAAAAATAAAGGAAAACGGGATCAAAGACTGGAACGAAACTTCAGGGTCTGAACAAAACTTTGTCTTTTTCATTTAAAATAAACCCGAGCATCAGAACGCTGCTCATTTCCTGAAGTATAAATTCTTGCAAACAGTTTCTCAGGCGCCACAGGCGACCCGTCAGCAGAGACGTGTCTGAAAACACAGCCCGTGTTCTCCACTCGGAGTAAAACGGAAAACTTTAATGAATTCTCTGAATAATACAAACTGCAGCTCGTGGGGATTTTATTTATTTTCAAAGACGAGCACATCTCAAGGCGTGGCTGAAGTACAAAAAACAAACTCTAGGTGGTGCAATGGTGGGTAAATACTAACGCGGTAGAGGTGGTGACCTCCTGCCATGTTTTGGTGATGTTCTGTTTCAGCTCGTTCAGCGGCGTGATGCCCAGCGTCCTCTTTATATCTGCCACGCGCCTCTCTTTGGCTGCCAGCACCTGAGACAGAGTCTGGATCTCCTCTTCTACCTGAGAGGAAAACACACAAAACCCTGAATCAAATTCCAACTAGAGAAACTGCATTTCCTGCGAAAATGAAGTGTGAATGCTTATTGCTGAAGAACTTGCCTGAAAAACAGCTGAAATTAGCTAAAAACATGCTGAAATGTAGCTGAAATTAAATAAGCCTAAGTTAGCAGAAGAAAGCAGAAGGAGCACATTTGCTGATTTTGGTTTAAATAAGCAGAAATGAGCACAAAAGTTTGTAAATTACCAAAACAAAATAGCTGAAATTTGCAAGAAATAGCTGAATAGTAGCTGAAACGGTAGACTGAAGCTTACATTACCTGACTTACAGTAAGTAGAGAGAGCACAATTGTGCCCAATTAGTCTGAAAGAACAGAAATGAGCACCAAAAAGTGAAAATCATCTGAAAAAAGCTGAAATTAGCAAATAACTGTTGAGTAGTAGCCATAAAAACAAAGAAGATGAAATTCCCAGCAGTGGAGAGAGCACAACTGTGCCCACTTAGGAATAAAGAAACATAAATTAGCACCAAAAAATGGAATTAAGATCATTTTCACTTTTTTAAAGATAAAAAAACAGAAATTTGCCAAAAACAGCTGAATAGTAACTTTTAAAAAAAGCCGAAAGAAGCTTAAATTACCAAAAGAAAAGGCGAGCACAGTTGTGCCCAATAAAGCTGAAAGAAGCAGAAATGAGCACCAAAGTGTGGAAATCATCTGAAAAAGGCAAAATAATTTGCCCAAAACAGCTAAATAGTAGCTAAAAAGGCAGAAAGGAGGAGGAAATACCAGAAGGAAGTGGAGAGAGCACAATGTTGCCCAATTACGCTGAAAGAAGCAGAAATGAGCACAAAAGTGGAAAATATATGAAAAAAGCTTAAATTAGCAACAAAAAATAGCTGAAAAGGCTGAAAGAAGCTTAAAATTACCAGAATGGAGTGGAGAGAGCACATTTTTGCCTAATTAGGCTGAAAAAAGCTTAAATGAGTGCAAAAAATGTAGAATTAGCTGAAAAGCTAAATACAGCTAAATAATAGCTGAATTAGCAGGCATAGCTGAAACTTACAGAAATAAGCTGAAAGGAGCAGAACAAGCAGGTGAAAGAAGTTAGAAGAGGCACAAAAATGTTGTAGTTAACAAAATAAAGCTGAAAGGAGCACAAAACACACACACACACACAAAAACGCTGAAAGTAGCCGCTTTTTTTTTTTGCACATAGCTGAAAGAAACTGAACCAGAACGAAATGTGAAAGGAGCAGTAAAAGGATGTAAACAGAGAAAATAAGCATTCACACTAATATGAATCAATTAGACCTACACCTGTTTGGCTTTAAGATAAACTACAGGTTTAAAAATCAACGGGTTGGAAAACAATTAAATTTTAGCATCATCTCCGAAATAATTGTGGACGCTGTAGATTTATGGACTAACAGGAAGGAGGAGCTGATTTTCAGATTAAAGTAAACCAGATCTGGCAGAGGCAGCAGAGATTGTTTTGCTTGGGGGCAGAGAGGGTGACTCTGACTTTATTAGCATCAATATGGGCAAAATCAGGAATAAAGTGTCCGCTAAAAGCAAATATGGCGACGTTTCAGTCACAGAAAAAGAAAAAGGGCGTGCAGGCTCCTGAGGAGGCTTGGTACAAAAGGTTTAACATTTAGGGCTCATTTTATGATAAAGTAGTGGTGAAAAATACACAAATTGTGGGTTTTAAAGTAAAAAAATGTAAAAAAAAAAAAAAAATTTAAAGTTGGATTAAGGGGAACAGAGACAAAAAGTCAGAAATGTGTCACAAACCAAACAATAATGAGCCATTGTTTATTTTCTAACATGCAACTCGTTTCCCTCTTGACCTTGGCCAGCTCCTCTTGCAGCTCCTGATGCTCCTCTTCAGTCATGGTGGGGAGAGGAGATGGCGGGCCGCCGGACGTCGCTGCATCCTCTCCCAGCTCAGGTGTGTAGTCCGGACGCTTGTGGAAACCTGCAGAGGACACAAAATAAAGACGTGAGCGCGCCTCGCAGGACGAGTCGTGTCGCCGTGTGGCTGCAGATCGGATCAAACCTCTTGATTTGCTGAATAAAAAGACCAATGGTTTTCAACATCTCTTCAAGGAAGAGCTAACAGATGTGCAGCTTTTAGTGCAAATATATCGTTTAGTGTGCGCACTTTTCATCTGATGCTGCAGGTTCTGAAGCATCTGTTTTACAGAAACATTCATGTTTGTAAGGAAGTAAAAACGTTGTTCGATGGCGAAAAGAGGAAACTAAATAACTGAATAAAACTGTGCTCAAGGGGAAAGAAGCAAAAAGAAGGAAGTTCTGGCTCACACTGTTACATCAGCGGAACAAGAGGCACACCTTTCCTGATAAATGAGAGAAAAGACGAAGCTGCATCAGTGTCACAAGCTGTGTCCAGAGTCGGTCCCCTGCAGAGACAATGGGCTTGGCATAAATAACATTTGCTTCTGTCATCGCCATCATCTCAACCAGGTGAGGCCATCAAGGCCAGCTAGTTTGTAGGACTGACACAAAATACCATTAACCTGCAGAACATCAATCAACCTTTATTTATACAGGTAAATCCCATTGAGCCTCGAGGACTTGGCCGCTGAAATATCAGAATAAGCTTTATTATTATTATTGTACCAAAATACATTCATCCAAAAGATGGGCAGAGTGCACGTTGCTGCTGCTCCTAAGAGCGCGGCCTATTATTCTTTAGATAGAAAAGGGGAAAAGGCCATGAGGAGAGGATAGTGGTATTATAAAAAAAAAGATCTCTTCACACATCGCCCTCATCACGACACGATTTAAGACATCAAAAACTCTACCAGCAAGCACATTTATAGACACATTATGCATTTGATGACAAGATGGTGAGATTTGTCCATGAAGCACTTCCAGATAGCACCATAGTCCTGATGAGATGTTGGTGTCAGCCAGTACAGTTCTGATAAGTCTTCACAGAAGTTCACCGGGGAGATAGACAGAGCATTCCTTAGTTTATACATATCCCAGGAGAAGTTTGATAAGTCGGCCTGCTTCCAGGGGGAGTCAGATTCAGATAAGCCACAGTTGTTGATTTTTTTCAGGCAGACTTATTTCTCGTCAGCCTTGTCCTGCTGGTACTTTCGATCCAAAATGACCAGATTTGTAGGCATTCCACTGGTCCGTGCTTATTAGCTCCCTCCAAGGTCATCCCAAACATGCTGGCGAGTCCCAAAGCCGCAGGTGGCCTGCGATTCTCACAAATCGATTCCATTTTTGGTTTAGTTTGTAAATCAGCTGATTGTGAGTACTCGAAACACGAACCAAACTTCACACATGGTCGGCAGCTTTGCCATAGCTGAAACTGCTGCCGCGGTCTTCTTTAATAGCCGATAACGTAGGTATTCACCGGTGCCAAAAAGCAGAAACCCTGCTATCACGATTCCAATACATCTTCGCTGTCCTCCTGAGAGAATACGGACAGGCACATCAGCTTCCAAATCCACGATGTATCCTGCTGCATGTGTCTCAGCGGTGCATGAGGGTTCTCCAGGACCCTGTCGCCTTGTTGAAAACATTTTATCGAATGCGTTTAAAGTCCTGCTGATCAGATCCATGACAGCAGTTTACGTTTCAGAAGATGGGTAAATAGGAGCTCCGGTACACAAGACAGAGAGCAAGAGAGAGCACATATTGATGTGGTCTTCACAGACAATAAGATATGTTTGACATGATGCAGTCCTACACCAGGCAGCATAAAGGAGGGAAGGGTTCACCTTTCATGTCACAATCCTACAAACCTTTAGCGGAGACGTATTCTCATAAAAGACCTCTTGAAATACAAACTTCCACAATAAGAACAAGACTTTTCTCTGCCTTGAATCAGGACATCAATACAATATGACAACTAGGTTTAGTCAGAGGTGAAGGTGGGAATAATGGTTTCTGCTAAGTAAAATATCTCGTGAACCGCTAGGCACATTTTATTGAAACTTCCAGAAAGTAATCATTGGACATACATCTACAATTTTAGAGTCATTCCAATCAAAGATGGCCTCCACAGTTAATGGGAAAATGGTTGGAACTCTGGCCCTTTTGGAGATATTGAGCTATGATTTGGTGTGGTAGTAGCTAAGAGACATGCTCAACACACTCTGGGCATCTTGCGAGATGGAGAAGGAGGCCATCTTGGATTAGACTGGCATGAAAGGCAACGGGTGACATGCATTCCTAGAATACGCAGCCTTTAAATGCTGATTTACTGTTCCTTTAGCACCACAGGGCTGAGAGGAGTCAACTGAACATCTCTGTGCTGATTAAATAAAATATAAAAGCATTCAGTGAAAGAAGAGGAAACTTTTTAGAGAACCAGAAGCAGATTTGAGACAATAATTATCTGTGAAGAACTCTTTCAGGCTCAGACACCGCCCCCACGGTTTCTCTGAGGTGTAGCACGATCGTAAACTCCGACATATTTCACATCTTTCTCGTCTTCTGCTTGGCCTCTTTTTTCAAGATTCAACAGTCAGTGACATGCATGATCCACAACCACTTTAGTTTGAAACAGCTTAGCTTCAATATTTACAGGAAAAGCTCATGGACATATGTTGTTTTTTCCCCGTGTTTGTGCCTGCTGGGATTACAAAGTTTCACCAACAAATACCTCAAACACTCGGAGAAGCTCAGCCTTAAGGGAGTGCCTCTGTCAGTAGTTGGTGAGTTCAAAAGAAAAAGCTGAGGGGGGGTGGGGGCGGCAGAGATATTAGTTTTTGAGGCAGAAGTTTAGCTGCATACACTCCTACACATCAGTATCAAACCCCTGAGGACGAGCTCACTTCTCTTTGTCCAAGAAAAAAAGACGCCATCATTCAAAAATGGATACATTTTAAGAGATCTGCATTGAGTAAGCTAAACAAGCCGTGTGCCGATGTCCCCCCATCGGTGGAGGATTTGAAAAGTGAATGTTTGCTGTTTTTGAGGGGAGTGTTTTTCTGGACTGGATTTCAACATGGGTAGGGGTTACATTGTGTAGAAGAAGAGAGTTTTTTTTTTCTTGTCTGAGCCAATGAAGAATGACGAATCCTGGCCAATGGAGCAGCCGGTACACCGCGGTAAATTTAGTTTGACGTTGCACAACGCTGAAGCCACAGAGAGCGAATGTCCCACATCCAACGTAAAGCTAAATTTACTGTGGTCTGTCCGTATACTGTGCTTAGAAACCAATGTACACCGGTTAGTACAATGTAATCGTCAATTAATTTTGATTTTTAAGCATGTTGAACATTTCCAAATTTCTCTGATGCTTATATTTGAATAAATGAACAAGAAACTTTGAACAACAGTATCAAAGCAAAACATGTTCAAGTATTAAGTAGTAAGTACAGAAATATTATACAATAATTCACTGGATGTGAATGTAATAAACAAGCGCTGCACAGATTGTTACAGAAGCGTTTAACTGCCATTTAACATGTCACTGACACGTGTCTAATATGTCATGCATCATTGGGCACTTTTAAGTGTGTATACTGAAAATCTTAAGCTTTTCTAGGGGTATACTCTGTATGCCCGCGTATCACATACGACACCACTGGAATGGAGGGAGTGATTTTAACCACTACCAGGTGCAATGGTGGCCATGGCCACCATAGAATATCTTTGGTCACCCCAGTCATTTGAGGAAACTACTTTTCAGCAACACAAAAACTAAAAAGCATAGCTTCCTCAAATGATAGTACTCTTTCTTGGGCTTAGCCTCATAACACAATGTCAGTCAGTAAACTCGGTACCTCACTTACTTTTCAAATTATAGCACTCACAACATGCACGGACGGACGGAGGGTATTTCCATTTTTCCCCTTTTCACCCTGCAACGGGAACAAAACCCTGGCTCATCTGGTTGGACCAACCCATTGGCCTTAAATCAAGGTTTCATGTTATCAAATTTAGCTTTAAGCTCCTAGATAAAGAGGTAGAGGAATAAAACCCAGAAGGAAAGAGTGGAGACGAGTAGAATGACAAATGGAAGGACTAAGAATCGTGTTTAATTCTAGTAAAGCAGATTACAAACTTTGGAACATTCAACAACCTGTCTTTTTTCTTTGTTGCCTTCACTTCTGTTTGACCGTTTTATAACCCGTTAAACAATGACCTGAGACATCGAGCGATTACTTAAGGAGGAACCTGACGAGCGAACTTGAATACAAGTTTCATGGTACAATAATAAAAAGTTTTAAAAAAATAAAATATGCCTGATGAAATGGTGATTTCAATGATCTGCGTGTCTTAACATGGACACTTTAGAGATTATGAAATTAAAAAGGATTAAATATGAAGTGACATTTTGCAGGGAAAAGCTTAAAATTTATACTTTCTGTCCCAAGTTTAAACTTAAAACTAAAAGTGAAAAATTATGATCAAATTGCACGAGGATAGCAAACAAAGCAAGAAATATACAACAAACTAAACGCAGCGTGCGGTTTGCCATGAAACAAATGAAGTGTAAAAATTAAATCTTAATCAGTTGAGAAATAAAGTATACTGTATAATAAAGTATTTTTGAATTTGAATTGAAATCCATAAACACGTTGCATGGTAGTGATTTCTAGTGCTGCAACCAAAGAAAAGTTTTCAACTATTTCTGCCTTGTCTTCACCGTTTTTTCTTTTAAGAACAAGTTTTTAGTTTGAATTTTTAAAAAATGCCTGTTTATTGTGCAACTTTTCCAAACACGTCTAAGAAAACAACCTGTAGACTTCTTAGAAAGGCTCTGGTGTCGTGACTCGTTCCTGGAGGTCTGTCTGGAGCTATGAGCTCCGACACGTCAGGCAGAACTTATCACAACAAGAAAAGGCTTTTACCCAAGACTGATTGTCTAACGATGTGATGGTGACAGTGAAAACCACGTGTTAAAATGTAAGTGGACTGCAGAATGTCCTGTAACAACACAAACAAGTGAGATCTGGAGATGGTGTTTCACTGCAATAGAGCTCTACGAACACACACTTTATTTAAAGTGCAGGATTTATTTAAAAAAAAACAGCTATAGGAGGAGGATCACTTAATTACCATGTAGAGAAAAACACAGGGACTGTAGCGAACTGAGGGGATGATTACCAGGCTTTGTACAGTCTGAGTGCTGGTTTTATTCGGAGCACATTTCAGCAGCAGGTAAAGTAAGGCTCAGCTCCAGCAGCAGGTAAGACGGGGATTGTGAGGGCTGTTTATGACTGGTGGACTGATCCTTAGTCCAAAGATTGTCCAAGTAGAGACCGAACACAAAATTACGGCAACAACAATCCTCAATGAAAAACTTCAGTGTCTGCATCTTTCACACGTCGCAACAACAATAGAGTAAATCATATACCTGTATAAATACAAACAAGGTTATTCTGATGCCAAGACCAAAATACAGTCCTGAATTATTGAATGACAAGTGAATTTGATGATTAAACTATGATTCATTTCCCAATTATGTTGTGATCTGTAAATAAATGACAATAAGCTTTGATCGTCCCCGTTTTTAAAGTGGCTGCTCTTCTTTCTTTGAGATGAACGTATTCCTCATCACTCGTTCATTCCATCAGGTCTCACCAACTGTCGCAATAAACAATTAATCAATTAATCACATGATAAATGAAAATTATCGTCCTCATTTTCATTTATTGGCTTTATCGTTTCTTCATGTCTCTCTCTCTCTCTACTGAAGACACTGGATGACAAAAGACTAAACTCCGGTGCTCTTCACTGACCCCTCGCTTTCCCATTTTCTTTAAAATCCATTTTAATGATCCAAAATCACATTTTTTGATCATTAAAAGCAGCTAAGCTGAGAAGCTAAGCTGAAAGCTAAGCTAACAAGCCAACCTTGGGAATAAACCTCTGTCTTGTCGAAGCTCCAAAATTCACAATTGAAATGTGTGTCTTTGTGTAAAAAGTTGTTTTTCTCTATAAAAAGAAGCTGAAAACTTGTTTACTGATTTTTTATTAAAAGCTTAGTGTGAAAAATACTTTGCTAAAGAGCTCAAACCACACCGAGCGTCCGCCATTCTGAGAACGAAGAAAGGAAAGAGACAGCCCATGTCACGTCAAGGGGCCTCCCTCCCATTTTTCTTAGAGACACACTGCTCTCTCCCTCACTATCCATCCTTCAGTTCAGTCATACTGCCATCCAGTGGTCAAAAAAAGTTACTACATGCAAAACAAATTAAACACTTCTTAAATTTGACAATGACTAATTATTGTCAAATTCCAAACAATATTATCGTTTATCGCAATAATTTCTGAGACAATCGCCCAGCAAAATTTGTTATCGTGACAGGCCTAGGTATACCACCTGCATACAGAGAGAACAGAAAGCGTTCTTCAGTGTCGTGAGATCATTTCTGACTTTCTCCAGTTGTTATCTCAATTGTTTGAGCGCAGATCTCCCAAAAAGCTTAAAGGCGACACAATCAACTAAATGTCTGTGAAAATCGTTCACCATTTTAAGAGATTTTAATCTACACGAGGAGAAACGGGTTGAGTGAAAACATGGCGTTAACAAAATTACGTCAAAACTCCCATTTACAAACTCTTCGGCAGGGATTGCTGAATGTGTGACGCTTTAAAAATGTAGATCTCCTACATTAGGGCACGACAGCAGCAAGTATGATCAGTACACGAGTACAATCACTGCACGTGTACAATAATAACTTATCTGAAAACTACAAAAAAAGAATGACTAAGGCTGCCGTCTCACCTACATCTACAACTTGTTCCCCCAAATTCTTCACGTCTAATGAACCAAACCAGTTTTGTCTTTGTGTCTAGTACACACACACACACACACACACACCCTCCACCCAGCCTCTCCCTTTCCGTCTTGTGATTACCTCTGGTTTTGACAGCTGGCGAGCTGGGCGGCGTGTCGCTGTAAGCCGGGGAGAGGTAGAGGAAGCTGGTGTTGACTCCTTGCTCAAAGTCAAAAGGAGAGTGGTACTCCTCCAGCGGCTCCATGTTTGCCGTGTGTTGATGGTCAGAGAAAACCCACCTCCTTCCTGCCACCACTACCAACACAATGCCAGCCAAGAGCTGATTGTCTGCATGTGATTCTGCCGCGTGTCGCTCGTCACTGCCTCTGCGTTTACAGCACCCTGGACTCTTGCCGTATATGTGATGAAGATGAACGCTTAGGGTGATTTTATGTTGCCTGTCAAGTAGTCAAAAGGTCAAAGTGAAACAAAGCAACCACAATTTTCTTAGTCATTTCTGCAGCAGGCCACGGTGATGTAAAATCTCTGCTCCTTGCAGGCTGTTAATAAGTTACCTGTCCTTTCAAGCAGTCGTTGCAGAACACACAGCCCTCCCCTCTTCCTCACCACTATAATCCCAAAGGTCAGTTCTGGATTCGCTTGTTTTCACGTGACCAGCGGCACCAGTTTTCTGGTGCTTGTCACCATTAGCAGGGCAGGGATACTGCACGACTCTGATTTCAACACTCTTTCCATCATTCACCTTGTCATCCAAGGAGGGAACGGAGATGGTTTCATTTGTGTGAGAGGGTCACATGATACATGTGTGTGTAGGGGGCACATTAGATGAAAAGAATAATCTGCAGTGTCCCAGATTATAGCAAAGCGGTAATCCAGGGTAGCCGGTCTAACTGGGAGCGGCAGCAATGCTAGTCATCTTGAATGAGGAGAGGATGCCTAAAGCTTCATTGGTCCCCACTTAAGAGGAGCAGAATCCAAAAAGACTTTTCCAACCAGAAGATTTTACTCTTTGTTGCATGCGCGCTGTGAGTGACGTCCAGAGCGCATGGACATAAAAGCAGCAGCGGAGGACGGAGGAGGTGTCGGTCGGAGTTGTCAGCAGCAGAGAGGGGAGAGACACGGTTCATGCATGGCTCCCAAAACGACAAGGCAGCCACATTTGTTCATAAGTTTATTATTAGGAACACACGGGACAAAATGATAATGGTGGGGTAAAAAAAAAACTACTCCCTGCGGCCAAAAAAAGCATGTTTTCTAGGGTCACGTGCCCCCCTGGCATTGCCGGGGGGCGCCCCACTATTTGAGAAGGACTGGCCAACAATGAAGACAAAAAAGAAACAGGATTTTTGTAGAACTAATGCTAATGTTAGGAAAAAGTAAACAAGCAGTACATCGATGTCCCCCCATCGCTGAAGAATTTGAAAAATGTTAAACGTTTGTAGATTTCAAGATGAATGCTTTTCTGCACTGTAAATGAATAGGGAAGGGAAGGCAAGTAAGCCTTAATGTTTTTGGTGCTGGATATTCAAGTGGGTCAGAGTTACACTGTGTAGGAGAACAAAGGTGGGGTTTTTTATGCACCAAGGTGGTGCAGAGTGGCGAATCCTAGTAAGAGGAGCCGGGGGGTGGTCAATGGTGGCCTTGGCCACCCCAATCATTTGAGAAAACTCTACTTTTAGGAAGTATAGAAAAAATAGAAAAGCATAATTTAATCAAAAAATAGGGGTGGCCGGTTTACATATACGGTAGTGGCCATCTTGGATGATGACGTGGCAATCCAATTTTTGAAAGAAGCCTAGATGCAGCAGCATGCATAGACCAGAATGGAAGCCGGTACCTTGCTTATTATTCAAGTTATCGCACTCACAACATTCGCAAATGGATGGTGGGTATTTCCGATTCCCTCATTTTGCTCGATGATGGACAATAAATGCCTTGAAAATATTTTGAAGACCACCAGACAATAACTACAGCCAGAGTTAAGACAGATAATAAATGACCTGGAGAAACTCAACAATAAAAAAAAAAACCAAGTGAATATAGAGTATACACTGAAATAGAACTGCTTCAAATTTTCAAAAAGGGCAAACCAGACAGTCAAATTAAAACGATTCAAATCTAAGAATGTGAATCCTGTTGCTCATGTTCACGCTGCTCAGAAACTATTTTTCTGCTCTGAAGGAGCCAGACAAGCGAGTCTGTGCTGATCTTTTCCAGGAAATACAGTACTTTGAGTCAAGTAGAGGCACCTGACAGACGAATGTAAGCACCGGAGGGAAAAATTCTTTCACCTATGTCTATAATAAAGGAAAAATTTTTTTAATCCTAAACAAACTATTATTCCAAGTGACAGACCAACAATAGATAAATAGAATTGATCTGTTAAGAAAACAAGTTTTAAAAACAAATCAATTGTCTGTTTACAACCGTATCAAAGTCAATACGACAAAAACGTGACAGTGTAAGAACTGGCAATAAATCAATAAACATGAAGGTTGTGACAAAGTGGAGATTCAACACAATCTGCTGCCTTACTTAGATAAATTTTACTAATTGGCATTTTATAATGTACCCGTATGTGAATATTTCAGTACGGTGCCTTGAGAGGACGTTTGTGAATTGGCTCTGTATAAATCAATTGATTTGAACAGAACAAAGCGGTTTGTTTTTAAATTGCCACTTAAAAGATGACTTTTTCAAAGTTGTCCAGTAAATAAAAACATTATAGTACCTCTGAATGCCCTTGGAAAATGGTACGAAATTAAATTTTAAGGTACTGTGATATGACCATCTGTTAAATAGCTACATTTAGTGTTTTGTAATAATTTCTATTGCAAGAAAACAGACACATTTTGCAGTCTCACTAAATTCTGAGTCTTGGCAACAAATCAAGCCTCACGCCTTGCTGCCAAGTTTTAAGTAGCTGATTTTTGAAAACCACAGCTTGCAAAAGTGTATTGCAGCTGTATTTGACGTGTAGAGGGTGGGTCCTAAGACTGAGCCTTGTGGTACACCATTGGTGACAGATAGCCAGAAGTAGTACCATTATGTTGAACCCATTGCCTCTGAATTGAATAAGGCAAGTAAGCCTTAATGTACATGTATGATATAATTTACTAGAGTACACTTTTGAACTCAAAATAAGCAAATTAGGATCAGGTATTTTACTAATTATTGCTGATCCTGGGTGTGGTTTTTAAAGAGCTATATATAGCCTCAGATGTTTTCTGTAGGGAAGCTCCATCTCTTTTGAGTCGTTATGCCAGATGACAACTCTGCAACTATTTTGAGAGAAAACGTCACAATTTATTTTTTATTACCATGTTCAAAACTCCAGCAACGACACTGCATGACTTTGCGACTCATGCGAGGAAATATAGAACAACCTGCAAACGTTTTGAGACACTTTGAAGACTCCCTCGCGGTTTCTGCTCAACTATTCACGAACCGTTGCAGCGCAGTGGGACACTAACGTAATTTATGAGACAACACAGACTAAAATCTCAGTGCAACATTTACCCTAGTGTGGGGATGACTCGATAACCCCAGTGGCACCACCCGCGCACCCATAAAGGTCATGGTATGCAATAAAACAAAGAAACATCTGTACATGGTTGCACATTATCAAGTCACTGGTCGGGGGAGACACCAAAGCTGATACATCTTCACCATCCTCTCACTGAATGACTGGCTGTACAAGACTGACTGTTACATTTATTACTGTATAAAATATCTCAAATTTTTTGCGTTGTTGATAAAGAACCAGCATGTAAACATATGGAGGAGTCGAGGATAAAACAAAACTGACATCACAGCCAATGTGGCCAACTAATGTCAGCGAGCTCTCAAATAAAAACCAATAGACACAAAAACAACCCAGCATTCTTGTCAACAGACAGTAGCCACAAAGACATTTTCTGTGGTTAATTACACCCAGCACGAAGTCAATTACATGATATTAAAGACATTGTGTGTCACATGATTAGCAACAAACAAGAGTCATGAGACATGAATGAGTGCAACAACTGGGCCCGCAAAGTTCCCAAGAGATGTGCATCATGGGAAATCAATAAGAAAAGCAGATACTGTACATGTGCATCCAATCTATGCCTCTGCTCGTGGACTGTTAGTGAAGGGACAGGAAGTGAGTAAAACAACTATTCTACGGTCTCCAAGAGAACAGAACGCACCCAGAACAACTATTGATTGATCATGAAGCTTAATAATAAAAAAGGTTATTCTATAGAAGAAAAAAAATAAAAAAATCTATGAAAATGGTTCAAGAAAATTTTACAGTCAATAAAAGTATTGACTTTTTTATGACAAACAATATACTAGTTGACTACTTTAGAGACAATTTACTGGCATTAATTAAGAATGTACGTTTTCAATTTAGGAGCAGGATACTCAGGTGTTGTCCTGCTCTGTGACATGGTTTGCAGCTACAAGGTTATAACTACACTTGTAAAAAATATAGATAGAGAGATACTTTATTAATCCCAGGGGGAAATTTAAGGCATCCAGTAGCATGTTCTAATTATACAGGGGGAAAAAAAAACATAAAATAATCAAAAAAAGAAGCAGAATACACAAATTTGGAAAAAAAACTATATGCACGGGCAGCACAGTGGCGCAACTGGTAGAGCTGCTGCCTCTCAGCGAGCAGGTCCCTGGTTCAAATCCTGGTCCAGGGGCCTTTCTGGGTGGAGTTTGCATGTTCTCTCTGTGCATGCGTGGGTTTTCTCCGGGTACTCCGGTTTCCTCCCACAGACCAAACATGCATGTTAGGCTGATTGGTAACTCTAAATTGTCCCTAGGTGTGAGAGAGTGAATGAATGATTCTTTGTCTCGTTTGTCTCCATGAGTCCCTGTGATGGACTTGCGAGTCACAAGTTGAGACCCGTCCAGGGTGTACCCCACCCCTCGCACAGTGACTGCTGGACATGGGCACTGGCGTCCCCCGTGACCCAAAATGGAAGAAGCAGGTAAAAGATAATGGATGGATGGACAATATGCACATGCACAAGGTGGTACATACATATACAGTATATACACATGTATATACATATGCATATATGCATGTAAATATACATAAGTGTTTGGGGTGATGCAGAAAAAAGAAAGAGAAATAAATAAATAAATCGCTATCCAACTGAGAAAAAAAAAAAAAAAAAAACTTACAGGGCTAAGTGTACCCAATCTTGTTTCAGCTTATGGCCAAAACAAAAAAAACTAACTACTATT